GAGAAGAGGTTGATCCGAAGGCTCCTACCTTGTTGGAAGGCTTCATAGCCACGGAAATGACGGGATCGGGGACGTGGATGGATTCCTGCGTGGCCAAGGAAAAGGGGATGATTACAAATTCCAGCAAAATCCTGGTGACTCCCAGTGCCTGAGGCAGCCAGGGCAAGGGGGGGCTCACCATGGAGATGTCAGTGCTGGTTTTATCCGTGAACGTGTCCCCGCTGGCACAGTCAATCCCAAACAGGGCACAGATGTCTCCAGCATAAACTTCATTTACATCCTGAGGGAAGGAAAATTCCTGTTCAGACAACACTGGGATAAGAGAAGCTCTGGCTGCCCTTGGATCCCTGGAAGTGTCCAAGGCCAGGCTGGACAGGGCTTGGATCACCCTGGGATAGTGGAAGGCGTGCCCAAGGTTCCTTCAATCCTGGAATGGTTTGGGATGGATTCTGCCTTTCCCTCACATCCAAACTCCACCTGGATTATAGAAAATCCATAAACACTGTTTCAAAGCTTGACTCTGAGCTCCTTAAACAATTCCAAGCCCTGCAAATCTTCCTCTTTATTCAAAGGACAAAAGGGAGGCCTCAGCTTGGATTAGTCTGGGATTAAACAAGAAGCAAAATTGTTAAGGAGCAAACACCATCCTGTGCTTTAGGCAGTGCTGATCCATCCAGGATTATCCAGCGGTTCAGGCAGTGCTGATCCAGGGTTATCCAAGGGCTCAGGCAGTGCTGACCCATCCAGGATTATCCAGGGGCTCAGGCAGTGCTGATCCAGGGCTATCCCATGGCTCAGGCAGTGCTGATCCAGGATTATCCAGTGGCTCAGGCAGTGCTGATCCAGGGCTATCCCAGGGCTGCCAGCCCATCCCTAGGGATCCACTCACCTCCATGTTGTCCGAGTGCATCCGGACGAGCCTCTGCACCCTGACCTTCTTCCCGGTGCGGGTGTTGTAGATGTAATCCGATTTCTTCAGCATGCCCTGGTACACCCTGACGTAGGTCAGCTGCCCAAACCTGCCAGCCTGCAAGCACAACCCACCAAAATCTCATCTCTCTGGGAACCAGCACCAATTCCAAGCACCAGCTGCACTGACAAATTCTGGGAGTTTCCACGCTACAAATGGAAATGATTGATTTTTAACAGCTTTCAGTTGGCTCTGCAATGGAATTTGGCAATTTTCTCAACCAAACTCCCAAACCTTCCCAACAGAGACACACGTTACCATGGAACCTGGCCAGCCTTTTTCCATATTCCATAAGAATCCTCAAGTGCTGCTCTCTAAGTAGCAAACGTTTGCTTAAATCTCTGCACTTTTCCTCTCTGAGTCTCTCACATCCCATTGTTTCCAAATGCAGGATTTTTCCCTGAAAATATTTCAGCTAAGCCAGCAACATGCCAAATGTTCAAGTTTTAGCTAAGAAAACCAGAAAATACTTAAGGTCCAGAAGCCACCATAAAGTTTTAAATTGGCAGCATTTGTGCATTTTATGGTTGAAGCTTTTTTTAAAAAAAGAGGTTAAATTTCAATTGAAGTTAAACATAAACTGGTTTTCAGTAAGAAGTGATTTAAAGTCTGCTGTAGATAAGTTTTGGTAGCACCACCTGGACCCTCTCTGTTACTTGTGGGAAGGAGCAGAGTGAGACTCACCTCCAGTTTGAAGGCAAGGCCGATAAAAGGTTGGGAATCGTCACGAGCAGAGTTCAACAGGAACTTGGATTGGTCCTGGGAATCCCTTAAAAACAGGGATGAGAAGGAGGCGATGTTAGGAACCAACATGGGAGTCTGCTCTAAACATTTACAGGCTCTGCTGTTGGGGTTCCCACTTCTGGGTGGGCTCTGCTCCCAGGGAACAGGGACAGGAGGAGAGGGAACGGCCTCAGGCTGGAATCAGCAGGAATTTCTCCATGGAAAGGGTGAATAAACATTGGAAGGAGCTGCCCAGGGAGGTTTGGAGTGCCCATCCCTGGAGGTGTCCGTGGAATTCCTGGATGTGGCACTCAGGGCTCTGGGTTGGGTGAAAAGGGAGGATTGAGCACAGCTTGGACTCGATGATCCTGGAGCTCTTTTCCAGCCTCAAGGATTCTGGGATTCATGTCCTTAATAATAAAACACTATTTACACACTTGGGATGTGCTCCCTCCTCCAGACAGGCCTGGTTTTAAGGGCCCCATCAATTCTAAAGAATTATCTGACAGTCACTGTGCAAATTAACACTGAATGTGGGAAAATCCCAGTACAGAGTAATCCTCAAATGAGAGAGGAGCTTTGGGACTCTGTGCCAGATTCTGGTGGCATTGTTTGATACCAATGCATTGTTTGATACCAATGGTAAAGGATTGTGGATCTTGTTAGGAATGTTTCCTGCTTGGAAAGTATTCCATGGAATGCCAGCCTGGTTTGGGTGGGAAGGGTCCTCAAAGGCCATGCAGTGCCCTGGGCAGGGACACTCCCCACAGCCCTGCTCCTGGACCACCTCAGAAGGATTGGGAAGGTATTCCAGGACAGCATCCAGCAGTGGCTGCACCCCTTTGTTCTTCAGAGCACTTCCCACGAGGACAGGGGTGAAGGATTTCTGCAGCGTTGCCCTTCGGATTGCCAGCTGGAAAACATCCCTGTGAATTCCTCCTGCAGCACAGCCCAATTCCCTGGCTTTCCTGGGCTTCTCCACTCCTGGAGCAAAGAGCTGCTCCCACAGGCCCCTAGACACCCCCCAAGGGCTTCCCATAAAACCCAGAATTCTTTCCAACACAAAACAAAACCAGATTGGGAATGGGCCCTCCCTGGGGGGAGCTGGAGCTCAGCTGAGGTGCCACAACTCCAGCAAACAGAATTCCTGATACATTTATTGAGGAATGAGGGGACAGGGACACAGGTGAGGGAACAGCCAGCACAAGGAAGGTACCTTTAACTGTGCAGCTGTGGGAATCTTCTCCTCCAGGAACAGCTCCCCCAGGAGCTCATCAGCGTTGGCCACGCACTCGATGAGCTCCCTGCGCCGCTCGGCAGCCTCGGCCCGGAACTCAGCCGGGATCTCCTCAAACCTCAGCGTCTGCCTGCACACACAGGGAACACAGTGATTCCCAGAAACTCCACAGGGACCACCCTGCCTGGGAACAACCCACCCTTCACGTAGATCCTGGGAAGAAACCCCTGTGAACATCAGCACGTTATCTCTGGTGTGGGAGAGTCCTTCCTGCTCCTGGCAGGAGCTTGCAGGGATCAGGAAAACCTCCCAACAGCCTCACCCACAGCTTATCCCCATCCCAGGGAGCCACACAGGCTGCAGGATCCCATCATGGAGCAGTCTCCTGCCTCCCCAGGTGGGAAGTGTGGCCACCACCCCTGCACAGCAACCAAGTCTCCTGCAGGCCCCAGGCACTGGGAGAGCTGCAGCGGAACCCCCAGCCCCAGCCCATTCCCAAACTTCCAGAGAGCTGGGTTTCATCTCTGAAGAGAAACTGCATGAATTCCTCCTGCAAACAGCAGATCCAGCTAGAAAAGAAGCAATTTCCAGGCCTTACCCAAGTGCCCCATCAAAATAGATGGCTTTTTCTTCAATGAGATCTATAATTCCTTTAAAGTTTCCCTCCAGCCCCATTGGAATCTGAACAAAAGCTGCATTGTGTTTCAACTTGGATCTGAAAAAGGGAGAACAGGAATTATTGAAGAAAAAGGTTAATTTCTACCTGTGTGCTCCAAATGGTCTTTGAGCAACATCCCCTTCCCACAAAATCGCTGTGTTCTGTCCTCTGGACAGTGCCCAAATCTGCCAGTATGGATAAAAACCAGCCAGTTGTGGTTTAGGGCTTTGTATCCCACCCTTTGTATCCCAACAGGCCCAGGGAGCAACTCCCACAGGAAAGGCAGCAGGGGAAACCCGTTTGAGATTGATTGCTTGATTAAGAGAGTTGCTTCTCTCTTAATGAATATTAATGAGTTTATCTCATTAATCAAATTAGGCAGGGAGTAAGCAGGACCTCCAGGAATCCAAACTGTGTCACCTCCCTGATGGAATTTCAGCAGCACCAGGATCTAGGGAAAACTAAGAGGCTGCTTTCAAAGTGGGTCCTGATATAGTTCCATCAACAAAATAAATATCAAACCCCAGCCCTTGGTCACTGCAGGTCTTGGCTGACAGCAATATTTGGAGGGTTTTGGGACAACAGAGATTTGTCCTGGGTCAAATCAGGATTTAACCTTGAGTCAGGAATTCTCCAAACTGCAGCTCCCAAGAGAAGCCTTTCCAATATTGTTCCTAATGAGCTGTCATGTGGATGGAATTTCAGGAGTCATTGTAAATGCCAAAAACCTGAGCTGCTGCACTGCTCTGGTTGGGTTGGAGCCCATCCTGTCCAGTTTGTTGATGAAGGTGAGGAAGGGGACGTTGTAACGCTTCATCTGCCTGTTGACAGTGATGGTCTGGCACTGGACACCTCCCACAGCACAGAGAACCAGGATGGCTCCATCCAGCACCCTCAGAGACCTCTCCACTTCAATGGTGAAGTCCACATGGCCTGGAAAACAAACAAATAAAAATGATGAATACACTGGAAAGGGGCAACAGCCAAGGGAATCACACTGTGTCACATCAGCTCAAGTGATGGAGCACGGAGTCATGGAATGGTTTGGGTGGGAAGGAACCTTAAACCCCAATCCACCCCCTGCCATAGCAGGGACACCTCCCAGTGTCCCAAGCTGCTCCAAGCCCCATCCAGCCTGGCCTTGGGCACTGCCAGGGATCCAGGGGCAGCCACAGCTGCTCTGGGCACCCTGTCCCACCCTCCCAGGGAACAATTCCTGCCCAATATCCCATCTAACCCTCTGTCAGTATGAACCATCACTCCATGTTTTATCACAACCAGGGACACAAAGATGCACCACATCTCCTGTATCCATGAGGAACAGCAATGGCCAGGTGTTCCCAGCTGTCTCTACCTGGTGTGTCGATGATGTTGATGTTGGTGTCCTTCCACATGGTGTAAGTGGCTGCAGACTGGATGGTGATGCCTCGCTGTCGCTCCAGCTCCATGGAATCCATGACAGCTCCAACTCCATCCTTACCTTTCACCTTAAGGAAAAAATAAAAATTAGTTCAAGGAGTTTGCTAAGAATTCATATCCCATCCCTGGAAGTGTCCAAAACCACAGGTTTGGAGCAACATGATCTATGGAAGGTGCCCCTGCCCATGGCTCATGGTGAGCTTTAATTTCTCTTCCCACCCAAACCATTCCATGATTCTGTGATTCCACGTGCAGGAGTGATGGTGCACAGACTGAGCATTATCCCTCATGCAGAAAAACACAGTGTGGAGGTAAGTCCCAGGAAGATCCTGCCAGGAGCTCGGCTCAACCTCGTGCATCTGCGCGATCCTGCCTGTGTAGAACAGGATCCGCTCCGTCAGCGTCGTCTTGCCGGAGTCGATGTGGGCCGAGATCCCGATGTTCCTGATCCTCTCGTTGGGAAGGATCCCCGAGGAGCAGTGCCTGCACGAGGTCAGCAGGAGCTGCAAGGCAAGAGAAAGTCACTGGGTCAGCCAGGAGTGGATCCAACACAGCTCACAGGACACGAGGAATGGGACAAGGGGAAACGGCCTCAAACTGTGCCAGGGGAGGCTCAGGTTGGACACCAGGAGGAATTTCTCCATGGAAAGGGTGGTGAGGCCTTGCAAGGGGCTGCCCAGGGAGATCTGGAGTGCCCATCCCTGGAGGTGCCCAAGGAATTCCTGGACATGGCACTCAGTGCTCTGGAGACAAGGTGGGGATCGAGCACAGCTTGGACTCGATGGTTTTGGAGGGCTTTTCTAACGTAATTTATCCTGGGATTCGCTGTGCCCATGGCTAACCTGCCAAACCGCTTCCCTCCGCTTCCTGTCCATCTGTGGCGAAGCGGTCACCTCGGAGCTCTCAGCACACCCCGCACGGCCCCCACGCCCGCCCCGCTGCTCATTCCCGGTGTCCCCGTCCCCATGGCTGTGAGCGGCGGCTGCTCGTTCCCTGCAGCTGCTGCGGCCCGTTCGGGGC